TAATGACGAGCTCCCTATTGTAGTGCAACCCGACTGCTACCGGCAAGAGGTGATCTGGCTGCCAGTAACGACGGGAACTGAACTGGCTACTCCCTGCTGGCGATGATCTGCTCATCTTTGTAAGCGGCGGGAGCTGAGGGACCTGCAATAACTAAATCAGAGAACCCGGGGGTGTTTACCCGGTGAGGTCACTCCGATGGCTAAGTTAGTGCAGTATAGTAGTAGAGAGCTTGAAGATGATAAGAGAATGAGAGAGCTAGAGAGTAGATGTTACCCACCCCTTTTCGCATCATACCTTCGCCCCTAGGGGTGAGGTGTTTATATACTGGAGTCCTCAGGGGTTAGGTGGAGCAGTTCCTGGATCCCAACTGTGATGGGACTGGCTTGCGTGTTAGGTGGGTGAAATGCCATCAAACGGTAAACTGTCCCTTCTCGTCAGAATCGGGGAGTTGGTGAACTAATATAGCCGTTACAAGTCACAATCCCGTAAAATGCGGGGTACGATGGTGAGCTCCCCGAGGTTGTCAGGTTGGCGCCTGTGTCAGGCCGCCAGGTCAGTGCCTGGGCCAGGCCGTCAGGTCGTGCCAGGGACAGGTTGCGCCAGGGTCAAGCTGCCAGCTCGTGCCAAGGCCAGGCTGCCAGCTCGTGCCTGTGCTAGGCCGCCAGGTCGGGCCAGGGCCAGGTCGCGCCAGGGTCAGGTTGCCTTCTCGTGCCAAGGCTAGCCTACCAGCTCGTGTCAAGGCCAGGCTGTCAGCTCGTGTCAAGGCCAGGCTGCAAGTTCATGTCAAGGCCAGGCTGCCAGCTAGTTCCAAGGCTAGGCTGCCAGCTCGTGTCAAGGCCAGGCTGCCAGTTCGCGCCTGTGCCAGGTCGTGCTTGTGGGACACCATCATCTTAACAAAGGCAAGTTGTTGCCAAAGTGGTCCCGGGTGTCACCTAGTTGTTCTGAGTTGCCAGGCTACAAGATGGCGAAATGCCTAGTGGCGAGTTGCCTGTGGCGAGCTCAAGCTGTCTAGTTGTCAAGGGGTTGCACTTAGTTGGCATGAGGTGCCAGGTGTCACAAGATCATTGGAGGGCCAAATCCGCCCTCATCAGTTATCATCAGGAGATGTTCCCAATACACGACAGGGATGTACCGTGGGACATTGTGGGGGTAATCTTGTGGGGGGCTGATTTGAAATCAGTTAAATAATATAGGGAAATTGTCAAAAACTCACCATGAGTTTTCAGCATTTCTCTCAAAACTCACCACAACTTTTTAAAATGTCTAAAACTCACCATGTCACTAACTTGATGTTAAAGAGACCAACGGCTGTTAATATATTACCATTTTGACCTTCATAGAAAAATATAAACATATATAAAATATATACATATATTTTAATATTTAGATATGAAAAAAAGGAAAAGTTCAAATAATGTTTTCAAATATAAAATACATAAAAACAAAAAAATTGCAAAAAAATATAAAAATTTATAAAATTGCACACAAAATAAAAAATTATAGAAACTATAGAAATTGAAAAACAAAATCAGAAAATAAAAATTGTAGAAAAACAACAAAAATTATAGAAAAACACAGAAATTGCAAATAAATAACAAAAAAAATATAGGAAATTTTATAAGTTGTAGATAAAAAATAGAAAATGTAAAAAACGGAAATTATAAAAAAAAAACATTAGAAATTGTAACAAAACACTAAAATGTAAAAAAAAAAGAAAAATGAAAAATGAAAAAGACCATTTTCCTCTAACTCGCCATTCAAGGGTGATTTGGTCATAAAAATTGTTGTTTATGCTGACGTGGACATCTCTGTTAAGAAACATTAATGGTACACTAACGGAATGTGAGTTTTGGAAAATGAAAACTTACTGACATGATAAGTTTTAGACGTTTTGAAAAGTTGTGGTGAGTTTAAGAGAAATGCTGAAAACTCATGATAAATTTTAGACAATTTCCCAACAATATATAATTTTTTCACACATGGTGGCGATTCCAAAGACCAATGAAAAGAGAGACATTTGTGTGTTGTGAAACGCCCGGCCCCTTAAGACTCACTGACCCACCTCGTTGATGACATAAGTAAGTTCATGCATCTGACATATATAGAATAATCGACGGTACCAATTTGGTCTACATTCAATGGAACCGAACTTCCTTTTATCTCCTTCTACCTATAATAGTGATTCCACAATTATACTTGTTCAATTCAACTTCTCCCTCTTTAATTTTCTTCTTGTGGCCTCTAACTTGGGGATAGGGATGGAGCTCTCTGATCATCAAGTATGGCTTAGCTTTGCCTTCTCTCTTCTCATATTCCTATACCTACTTCTAACTCTAGCAGAGGCTTCCTGGAATTCCTACTCTTCTTGCCTCCCGCCAGATTGTTGGCTCCCCTCTTCTTGTCAGTTTTTGTTGATCAGGAATCAACCAGAGTCGATCTAATCATCTATGGGACAGACTATTGATAAGTTTGAGCATGAGATTTCCATTTCTTTTTCCTTGCAATTTTTTTATTCCTCCATTTACACAGTTTTGTAAGCAAAGTTTTGTTCGATGCAAAAGAAAATCTTGTATATATGCGCCTTAGTGCTTGACTGCTTGGATCAACTTCTGTTTTTTTTTTTTTCTTTCTTTCTTTCTATCAACTAAGAGTTTTTATTCTTTGCTTTTTTTTAATCTAGCTAGAAAGTTTATTACTGGCAATTGTGCAATATAAGCCCCGTATACATCTCCCCGCCCTTAATTTATTCATGGAAAATTTCAGTCAAAAATCTTTTTGCCAAGTACTGGAAACAAACTTCAATTTTTATATTAAAAAAATGAAAAACATGAACAATAATAGGTGAAGTCGTGTATGGTTCCATTAAAAAGTTTTATTTTAATTCCTTGACTGTTCAACTTAGGTTAAAATTAAATAAATCCAGTTACGAGCCCTAAATTAGCGGTTGGAAGTAGTACCGGTACAGGGATGGTTGTCAAAAACAGATCGAAATGAATTCCTTAATTCCCATCTCCCCGGCCCTTTTTAGGGTTGAAGAGATTATTATTTTCATTTGAGAGATCCATACGCTTTTCATTTGTTTAATTATAAACCAAAAGTTTATAAAGAATCTCTTTTTTTTTTTCTTTTTGTACTTGTTAGCAATTTTCACGACCTTGGTAAAGCGATTTTGGCCAATGAATTAATATGAAATAGTTTACAAATGTTTGCGGCTACGGTGTCAATAGACCGGTTTTAGATGGACCAATAAGACATATTGAATTGCACCAGTTCAGATTTAATGGTCCAAAGTGCTTATTGGATTGGATTGGACCTGGTCCATCGGTAATGAATTCATATTGGATTAAATTGGATTAAATCAATATATGGTCCATTGACAGAAGATAAGAATACAGGTGAGTCAATGGACCAAGTTTGGTTGGAACCAATCTAAATTTAAATCAATTTGAATAGATTGAACAGTCTAGGCATTGAATTGGATTGGTTCAAGTATTTATTGGATTGGATTTGACCTGATCCATCTATAATGGGCTCTTATTGGACTGAGTCCGATTAGACCAAATTTGGTCAAATTAACACCCGTAATTGCACCAACTGATATGGTAGCAGTTGGTAATATTTTGAGAATTTACCACATGGCATGGCAAATGTTTGAAGCAGGTGCAAAGAGAGAGTTCTCAATCCATATGTATGCCAAATGTTTTGGAATATTTTGAGAATTTATATTTTAGAAGTGAATTTTATTTTAAAATTTGACTCTTGTGTATATAAATGTAGGAATGAGTTCTCAATCCACATCCGAAATTAGGTGTTATAAGTACCTGAAATATAATGCCAGATACTGCAAATGTGGAAAAAAATGCATAATTCGAGTGTCCGATACACCTGCTAATCCTCAAAGATTGTTTTACACTTGCTCTAGCAAATTGATAAGTAGTATTTTGATTTCATTGTGTGAAAGATGACGGGTGTAGTTATATTAGATGTATTGACTTGTGTCTAAATGTATGTAGGTAAATGATACCGATGAGGAGACTCGGAACTCCAATATGAAGTCTTGCAATTTTTTTGAATGGGCAGTTCCTATAAATACTTTAGATGAAGCCACCTCAACAAGTAACAATGTAGTGCATCTGGAAAGTTGTATTGAAAAGCTAGAGAAATTAGTTGTTGAAGGGTTGGATGCTTTGAAGGCTTCTCGGCACTTATTTACCGGAGGATTAAAGGCTATGCAGATTTTGACAATAAGTTTTTCAAATGTGTTTATATTTGTCTTGTACATGTATAAGAACTAGTATTTAGGTGTACTTAGTATTTAGGTATAGGTTCTTGTAATATTTTGAACTGTGTAATATTCCTCTGTAGGGGTAGGATTGAATATGTTGCAGATTGAATGATCAAAACGCCAACTGGGTACCTACCACTTTTGGTATCATGGGTTCGATGCACCTTACAAGTTCATAATGAAGATTCCTAAACCAGTATACTATATATGAATGAAACTTTGATCATCGACTAAGGCTGTGAGAAAACCAAGGCTGTATTTTCAGACTGATCATGTTGAACTAGCATAGCACCAATCTCCAAAAAGATATAGAGAATGAGCCTCACCATTAGACCATGTTACTTTTCGTTCTAGATTAGTTGGGTATATGGTGACCGCAAATTCTGTTGATTTATTATGAAGTGGGTACATGGTGATACACACCATGATGAAGGCATTGATTTATTATGAATTGGATGCATGGTGATGCACTGATGCACACCACCTGAATCATACGATCATTTATTTTGATAAAAGCATTGATCAAAATTATTTGGTGGATGTAAGTTGCATAGGAATTGAATATGGGTAATTGAGAACCATGGATCTGGCACATCAAACTGGGCTTACATGATGTGACATATCCATTGTTAAAGGGTCAAAAGAGTTCCATCTCTGAAATTGAGATGCTAAGAAAATCAAAAGGTTAAGACTTAAAGATAATTTTCGTCCATCTGATTTGAGAATTATATTTTGGAACTTTGATGATGGTTTGTTATCCATGGACTTTATAGTGCAAGCAAAATTGATGCAATGAACATACAGCAAAATAAATAAATAATCATAAAAAAGGCATATGCTGCAACCTGCAAGTCCCTCCAGTTTTGTATCTTCACTGATCCGTCGCCACGTCTAGAAATCCTTTGAATCATGTTGTCACTTTTCCCACTAGGTAAATCATCACTATCTTCTCTTCCCTTACTTTAACAGCTTCTTGCCCTTTTATCTTCGTCTCTTTGAATAAGAATTTCTTGGTTTGAAATCCAATCTCTTTCTGCCATCTGCCTTCCGGTTCAAACTTCCCTTATCACTCCGATTTATTAGTATTTAGTAGGCACCTAGAAGCAAATTTAGATATTATCCGAAATAAAGTCTAGTTACATGGCCTAAGGCATTGAAAGGTGAACCACTTGAAAGGCTTGGGCATCCAGAAGCACTTGATGATTTGCTGACAGCATTCAATGCTACTGCTCTTCCTTGCCAATCAATGACAGGTGAACCACTTGAACCTCCTTTAGTCCTTGATGCAGCCTGGTGGATCGAGAGATAGACATTCTTATCTATGTTCATCAAACATTTTTCATTAGAGTGCTTCAGCCAAACTGCTAGAATAGCTCTTAATAGAAAATTAGAGAGACTTCACAAATAAAGAGATTGATAGAACATCAAAACAGAAAAAATGTACTGTGTGAAAAAAAAACAGCAAATGATAACTCCACTTTTCCGGCTGTTGGTCTTGACATGGTCCGATCCATATCCATGATGATTCCTACATTTACACATGATAGTTATTGTTTTTTAATTATGCAAAAAAAAATACATTTTCAGAAATAAACAATTAAAATTTCACCTGGCTCATATGAGATCCAGTAGAGATGGTTTGGCTAGACACATTTCCACGTACCTCTACCTATACAAACAATTTCCAATTATAAAACAATATGATTTTACAAAGTATTAAAAAAGAAATCCATACACAAAGTTACTTGTATGGGAAGATTGTTTACAAAAGAGCTAGAATGGTAAAACATGAGCCAATGTGGTGCTGCATAGGTGATGGCATGTTGTGAACTTGTTGCCAATTCCAAAGATAAGGAATGGTGCTTCGTGGACCACTTCCATCTGTAATAGATTGAATATTTTCTCCAAAACCTTGATTCTGAATTAAAAGAATTTTGTTAAAGTTTAATATAATACAAACCAAAATCTTTTCCATAATCAAACCACATGCTTCGTTTAAATCGTCATATTCAATTCAAAAATCACATTAATATCAAACTGAGAATGTTAGAAAATGAACAAAAACCACATGCTTCATTTAAATCATCATATTTAATTCAAAAATCGCATTAATATCAAACTGAGAATGTTATACAGTCTCGGATTTCAGATCTGAGAAAAAAAAAGATAAGAAATGAGAAAACTTACCTCCTGCCGGTATGGTTGTCGGCGTCGACCGGTGGGTCACCGGAGGGGGTGTAAAGCGGCGTCAGGGGGCTCCCACTCCGGTAGGTTCAGATCTGTGAATATTAGAAAACGAATGAGAAAAAAAAAAAAGAAATGAGAAAAACTTACAATACAGATTACTTACCTCCTGCCGGTATGGTCGTCGGCCGGTGGAACTCGACCGATGGATGGATGGAGAAGAATGGAGGCGCCAAGGGTTTCAGGGTTTCGGTTCAAAGTGAATGGAGAAGAAACCCTTTAGGCGCATGTTTCATTAACGGGGCTGCGGGAAACGGCGTCAACTTGACTTCGCACGCGTCTCGCCTAGTGCACGTGTTTCATGACACGCATCACATTCCAATTGTATGGGACGTATTTGGGGGGCAAATTTGTGGGGGCAGATGCGAACCCTTATGTTAGATATCTCCGTTAAATTTCAAAAGAGTTGAAAAGGGACAACATGTTACATGTCCCGTTGTCCGTTGATAGTGGAGGTCGCCGGTCATGCGACATCGGGGGTTGCCGCAGATGCGCGTTCCATTTGGAACATCTCCCCTCACAAATATGGGAGATGTTCCAAGTGTACGGGCGGATGTGCCTACGAGGCGCACTTTGTGAAGAGCTCCCTCTCCCTCGTTTGTATAGCCCCCTTTTCCTATTTTGAAAGAAAACAAAATCCTGTTCTGTTCAGGTCGTCTCTGATTAGAAAATAATCAACTTCAATATGTTTTTTGCACTGTTGAATTCAATTAGGGTGACTTGAGTCTAGTTGATATTCAAGCTTAGCTTGATATGATAGGTTTGAGTTTGGGTTCAAGTTCGATTTAAGTTAGAGACATGAATTCGAATTCAGTTAGACTAAAAAACTCAAATGTTTGCGTTTGGCTTGGCTCGAGCTTAATAATGAGCCATACATAATAGAAAAAATAAAAAAGCATGCTTATAAAAACTAAGAATTGCATATAAATTATATTTTGTTATACATACAAAGAACGAGCCTAAATATTGGACTGTCGAAACTTGGTTTAAACCAAACCAAATCAGGATTTGTTCTAGCCATATGGGAAGTTTTTAGTATTTCTGAAAAGAAACATTGGCTATTAAAAGTTTCCAAATTCTAATATTAAATTTGCTAAAGAAAAACAGAATTTGTTCTAGCCGTATGGGAAGTTTTCTAGACTAAAATTTGTTGTAGAGAATAACAAGAACCAAACCCTATTGAGCCCTGAGCCAATTTGTCCCGTGGAATATTGTTTGTTCCTCAAACTCTTTTTTTTTTTTTTTCTTCTTTTGGGCCTTGTTTATTTGCAGTACAATTTTATTTACATGGATGCAGAAGTATAGGGGTGCAAATGATTTCAATGCAAAATGGACCAAATTTGCATTGTTATGCATTTAAACAATTGAACTAGGACAAATGGAATTGCATTGCAAACAAACAGAGCAACAGCAGTCAAATAGCCGTAGGTCTGTTAGTTAGGTCGTTTAGTGAGTTTCCCAAAAGATGAAGGAATCTTAAACATATAAATTAGTTTAGAATTCAAAAGGAATCTTTGAGTACCTCTGATCATCTTCATGGGTAAAAAAATGGGCCCCCAAACACATTGTCAGATTTATAAAAAGCCCACTTTTACAGGGAAGTTTTATATTTGAAAAATTGATGAGAAAAACTTCAAATGGCCCATATTTTTTTATCATGAAAATTATCAATATAAGGAAACTTTCCCACGTGAGTAAGAGTAACCCTACTTCTGCCATGTGAAGCGATCTTTTTGTGGGTCAATCCAGACCGTCCATGAGATAGAGGACCCAATTTGATCAGATTACGTGCGAGGTGCGACTGAACTAGCAAGGAACAGGGTAATAGAAAGACTTAAGGCAGGAATGCAACTTGGGCATACTCCAGTGAAGCATTAGTCAAAATGTGGCCCAAAGGACCAGGTCCGGTACAGTGTAAATTCTTCATTGGTTAAGTCGGGTATCTAGCTTGCACTCTCTATCGATTGGGTCCAAATTGGTTCCATGTATAGGAATTAGGAAGACCTGGACCCAAATAAAAAAGCACCTTATATGAATTGTGCCAAGTACGGGTATGGACATATAATGATTGAGTTACGAATCCGAAACCGTCAAATAATCAATATCCAGTTGCTAATTGCTACTTCATCGGCATAACGAAAAAGTTCTAATTGCTATAGTATCCATTTAAAACTAAACAACTTGCTACATTTTGCTATGCATAATGTTTGTAACGGGTTCGGATATGCTTACTCACAAACTAGGGCTGCAAGTTAGGCCGGGTTGAGGCCAATTTTAACCCTAACCTAACCCGACCCTTAACCCAATTAAACCAACTCTAGTCCTAATTTTATCTAAATTCCTTCAATTCTAACCCAACTCAACTCGAAGTCAATTTTGGGTTGGGTTGGGCTCAACTCAACCTTCTTTCCATCCTTTAAAACCTCATACAATTTCTCAATTTTAGATCTTAACTCAACTTTCACTACATATAGACTTGGCAAAAAGTTGATCCAACCCGTGAACCCGACCCGACCCGACCCGAAAAACAAGGTTAGGGCTTCATATATTAGCTACCCGAATGCGAAAAGGAACCGACCCGATCCGACCCAAAAAATCTGGATTGGGTCATGGGTCAACCCATTGACCCGATTGTCAAGTCTAATTAGGATTATTTATGCATTGTTAGAAGTTTTCACTCTTTAATTTTTTCTATTTAGTCTTTACTTTTTATTGTTTACTTATTAAATTGTTAAATGTTCAAGCCTTTTATTTTATATTTAGAATTTTAAGGTTAATTCTTTTTAATTTTGACATTTTCCATGTAATTTTTCTTTATTTTTTTTAATTTCATTTATTTTTTGGGATGACTCGAATTGGCCCATGGGTCAACCCTAACCCGAACATTTAGGGTTAGGGTCTAGCATTTGATAACCCAACCTGACCCGAAATCAAACCGAAAGTACCTTGACCAAACTTGAACCCAACCCAATTGCCAGGTCTAACTACATATATTAATCCTATCTTCATTAGTATTTGTTTGTTGACGCTATTTTTTTGTTCTTTAGTACAAAATTCAGAACAAACAAGTGTTAGAAATGACTATATTTTATTATAAGTTATGACTTATGATAGATCTTTCTTGGGTGACAAACAACATAGAGGAGATGAAGAATAAAATTTTTAAAAAACATAAAATAATGTTATTAAGGTTTTAGTCTTTTTTATTAGGATTAAGTGAAGTGATTATCTTAAAAGAAATACATGATACTATGTGGTGGGGGAAATACAAATATCATGCATCTAAACGCATGTTATATATTACATATAACATATATTTATATTGACATATACTATAGAGTCGGGTTCGGATTAGGTCGGGTTGACTAAAGGATTAACCCTATCCCAACCCGAAGTAAAATTGGATTCATGAATTGCAATTCTAATCCTAACCCGATCATCAACTCGCCCCAACCCAACCTAACTTTTCGGATTGGGTTCGGGCCAACCCGGCCCAAGTCGCAGCCTTATCGCAAACATTGTGACTGCGATCAAGCCAGTGTTTTAAAGCTCAAATTGGACTAAAATATTAATGCTCGATGGGTCACGGTTTTACTGGTTACTCCAATAATTAATCCATAAAACATCATTTTAACCACGATCTGTAATGCCTACAATCCCGATTTTCATAGTCTGCTCATCTGGTCCCGAGTAGGGATGTCAGTGGGTCGGATTAGGTGGTCTTAATCGGGTTTTGGGTCAGGTCACTAACCTGGCCTGTTGACACTGCAGCCTTGAAGATAATATATAATATCAATTGGATATAGGTATGCCACTATGCCATACATGAGGTGGGGACGGGGCAGAGTGGATTTGCTAGCTCCTCTTCATTTAGTTGGATCAATTCGGTTTCGGGATTAGGCAAAACTGTACCGGACCTCGACCTGTTGGCGTCACTATATCTGAGTCTTACAACATTTGGTTCAAACAATTTGACCGTCTTACCCAGACTGCCCAGAAATAGTATTATTGTCTGTAAAAAGAAAAAAAAAATATAAACGTTAGCCAGCATGGCCCATTCAACTGCTGAAGCATCAACCATGACAGGAAAGCCTCTGTTAGTCTGCCCAATTTTGGCTGTAATAGAAGTCCCACTTGATGTCCGATTCTTTGTTTTAGTTGTTGAGCAATGAGCATAAATTTGGCTAAGGGGGTGTTCTTTTTTTGGATTTTGAGAGGGAGAAAGTTGGTCAATGGGATTTTGATTCTCATTGACCAAGAATCTCATATTCATTTTTCATATTTATGTGGGGATCAAGTAAAGTTGTTAACACTTGACCCCTTTTAATAATGGATTTTTAAGGTTAAAATGATCATTATTTTATTTAGCTAAGAAATAAAAGAACATGAGTAAATGCATTTATCTGGGTGTGTTTCCCAGAAAAAACTTACTTAATTAATTGCATTTACCCGGATAAATAATTTACCAAAAAGGGAACAGGGTCTAAAAGAAACAAACTACAAATACAACAAGACAGTCAAAATGCAGTCACCCAACAATCGTCTTGTTTTCTTGTAATCTTATAAAATATCAACAAACCAGGTCAATAAGGAATTTTTCCTTCTAGCTCTTTAAATCCTAACATGGCTGTCTGATTAGCAGCATCGTTCCCACATCTGCACAAGACACCAAAAACAAAAACAGAACTAGTGTCATTGAACATAGGCGATATATATATATATATATATATATGTAATGCATAGTATGAAAGATGTACTTTGAACTATGCTTCAAAATATTGATATCCCGATATGTTGGTAGTGACGTATCGGACAGTATTGATAACTTTATTTTTTAATTTTTTAATATGATTTAGAAAGGCCAGTTTAAGGCTTGCCCACTCTCTGAATCGATCAAGACCCCGAAACACTCTTGCAAGGACTTATTAGGAAGCCCCCAATATGATACATATTGGCCAATATGGCCGGATACATATCGGTATTTTAAACGTTGCTTTGAACTAACTTTTTATGCTTCAGTCTAGTGATCTACTACTCCCCGTTCTGTAAATTCTGTAGTGCATGTGGATGTGGCCACAAAGTGTAAATCATTACAATGGATCTTTAAGGCTTAAGGGGGACCTCCGACCTACTACTAGTAGTCTAGTACTACTACTAGAGAGAAGGATCCAGGTCCAGCTTGAAGTTTTCTTTGATAGTGCTCGTGTCTTGTTTTTTCCTCTCTTTCTTCTGTTGGTACGTGTTTTGTATTGTTGTCCCGGGACTCGTTTATTTATACTCTTCCTTTCTGGTTATCATGATTCATGGTTAGCTCTTTACTCAAAAAAAAAATGGTAAAGATTGCGCCTTTCTGATGCCATACTATACGTCTAGTCCCCAATTTTGTCCTGAATGGCTTCCCATAAAATTCCCTTCTCTTTACCGACCGTAGTCTACGTCAAAAGTTGCGCTTTTCGATTCGCCGAGCTCAACGTCAAAATATGAATAATAAGCCCCGGTTTTCCGATTTCCAAATAGCAAGCTGACGTTTGCTTAATTAATTAATATTCACCCAAATCGCAAACTAAGTTCAAGATTTGGTGTTTATCATAATTTGGGGATTGTAACCCAGTCAGACAATTTATTACGCAGTCAGACACACATCAAATCAAATAGTGAATCGGATACAGTCACAGATGGACAAAATTACAAACACCTCCGGGGCAATCGATTCAAGGTGTAAAAATACTTGGTGCATACTGCATACTGCATATTAGAGTTGTTACGTTGTTGATCACTTGATCTTGTGTTCTCCCCAGCGCCTTATAATAGGCAAGAGTTGAGTTAAATCCGTGAAAAGAGTGAGTTTGCTGTTGAGCCATGATCGTCTTTGGTTGCGGTGGCCTATCATCAATGCACACTGGTTCTGGTTGATCCAAATCTCGTGAACAGTACTGTTTAAAACTCTCTTGCTGGACGCCGGAAGGAATTTCCTGCTGCTTCCAAGCTCCAACGGCCCAACCCCAATCTTGGAACGTGGGTAGGCTACATAATATAGAGTGACAGACATAGAGATGGCAGATTCGTATTAATTTAAGGGAAAATTTTTAATTAATATTATGTAATTTGGGTTTAGTGCTATTTTGATCCTCAAACTTTAAAATATCCATTATTCAATATCTGAATTTTTTATAACATATCAATCGCAGTATCTACCATTTATCAACTGTTAAGTGGCATTTAAAAAAGATATAAATATCTTTAAGTGTTATTTAGTTTTCTTTATTAATCATCCAAACATTGACAAAAAATTAACAATCTTAAATCCTTTCTTCTATTTAAGAAAGTTGGGGTCACATTTAGATGGACATTCTGAACCCTAACTTTTATAAATAAAAGAGACAAGGATTTAGTACTGTTAATTTTTTGTCAACATTTGAATGATTGATAAAGAAAATTAAATAATATTTTGAGGACATTTGTATATTTTTCAAATATCATTTAAAGACTGATTAACAACTGATTAACAGTAAATATTGGATTGATATTTTTTAAAGGTTTAAGTACTAAATTATAGTATTTTAAAAATTGGAGACTAAAGTGACACCAAGTAAGAATACAGTATACTAATCGGAAACCTTCCCTTAATTTAATTATAGACCTCCGCCCAGACAGCACACCTAGCTTAGCTTATGTTTATTTTGCCTACCCAGAGACAAAAAACAAAATTAGAAATCTTATTAAATTAAATTGTAAGGATAAAACACGGGCCGCTTATGAGGCCTTAATCTAAGGTTAGGCCCAAATACAAAAATATTCTACTTGAAGAGGCCCATTCCAAGGCAGGGGTGCGCGGCGGGTTCAGGTTGGCTATAAATTTGGAATCGGTGCCATGCCAGTTAGCGCCGTGGTACTCGGGAATCTATTTAATATGATGTGGGCCAGCTTTCAAAGTTGGTCTGTCTTTGATTCTATCACGTGAGTCGTGAACGAAGCGGCCAGCGGCGGAGGCGGAATTTAGCTGTTGTTTGTTCATCGCATCGCATCGCCCGGCTCCGTGCTCCGTGGGGATAACGGTGTCCCTTTGACCAGTGTACTTTTACTTTCTAGTTTCACTGTAGACTGTAGTCACCGTCACTCTCTCTCTCTCTCTCTCTACAACCACAATTCATCAAAAGTGCATCGCTCGTCTTTTCAATTTTCATGGACATGGAAAAACTCACCCAGTGGACCGTGCCCGTAGCTCGGTCTTCGGGTTCGCGATACTACTACTACGGTACGCCGTACGAATCGATTCCCTTTATTAGCTATAAAATGTCCCGAGGGTCCCACTGGAACTGGATTCATTATATTGTTGGAGCCTTGGAGGTAGAAAAACCACTCTACTCTGCGTGATCACGGCTCAGTCCGCTTAAACTGTAGGTTTTGGTCAAATGGATGGTCGAGATTACTTCATCGCATGCACGTACATGAAACAACGAGGGAGGGGGGGGGGACCAGTGGACCACCACCAGTTGAGTTGCTTCCTCCTACTACGCTGTTTCCCAAAAGAAGTAAAAATAAAATAAAAATACATAAAAATAAAAGGAAAGGGAGCTTGACAACGTACACGAGGGTGGCCTACCGAGAAATCTTCGCGCTGACTACCAACGTCCAAATATAAAAATCCAAAGTGGGCCCCCACTCAGGTGCTCGATCTTGTCTTTCAACTGCTTCCCCTCCCCAGTTCTCCTTGCTGAATGCTGACCGACCGACTCCACAGCTTTTTGCCACGTAAAACAGAATTCAACTGTCATACACGAAATTCCGAATTTACCCCCACGACCCGGCTCTCGACTCTCGAGGCCAACCTCTCTGCAGCTTCTGCAGAGGGAACATCATATCTGAAATTACAACCAGAACACGTTTCTCACAACAATGGCATCAATAACACCCTCGCCCATTATTCATATTTACTACTTTACCACTCAACTTCATGTCTACTACTCTATCGCAATTAACTCTCCAATCTCGACCATCAAGATCTCTACTTTTAGGGTTAGGGTTATATGTAATTTTCTACAATTCCTCTGTTGTTATGTTCTTGGAATGTCGACGGTCTCAACCGAGCTTCAAGAACTACTGTTTACAGGTTTGTTTATTACAGACTTGTCAGCTCATGGTCTGTTTTTTTTTTTTTTTCTTTCTTTGATTAAATATTATTCGACAATTTCATCCCAGGTATGTTTTTGTTTACACATTTCTTTCTTTTCCTTGTTCCGGGTGTTGGGTGATGACTTTAAGTTAATGTTAAGCCGGTGCTTACCAGCAAAAGGAATGAAAAAGAGTGGGAAGCTCCGTTTTGTTTTCTCTTTTTGTGATGTCAAGTTGTGTTTCTTTCTGAAATGTCTTGCTTTCTAGCAGGAAAGCAAGAGTTTTTTCTTTCCTTCCTTTCTCTCATTCATTCATTCTTCCTCAAGCTTTGATGAGAGCAACTGTATTGCTTCCTTTCTTATGTTTTATGATACTTGGGCTTTTCTGTTTCCTCGGTTTTTGGTTATGCTGATTGCCATCATAAGCAACGAGGACAAGCTCTGTTCTTCCTTTTTCTGCTTCTCTTTGTTTTGAGTATCGCTTTTTTCCTTATTTTTCAATTGTTTCCTTGTTTGAAGTGCTTTATTAAATTTTGCGCTTATGGTTATGGACTTTATCTAATCGTTGGATGGTTTGCTAATGCTATTTAATGGTGTTCTTTTCCAGGTTGATAATCCCAATTGTTTTGTTGGACCTGAAATTTGAATTCGTTGGAATAAGCCATCTTTGCAAATGTCAGATGGGCGGCGTCATTCTGTTGATATCCCTATTTCAAAAGCTCTAGTAGCACTTAGGAGGGTCAGGTCATTGAGAGACCCATCAACTAACCCTTTGAGCAAATTCTCTTCTTTTGCTGATAATTTGACATGGGAAACTGATTCTTGCAATGTGGCTTCAGCACGCTTGTTAAATGGTTACCGAGAAGTTGGATCACACAATCACGGTTTTCTTGGATCCCAGATTTTTGATTTGGATGGGAGAAGAGAGGAATTTGGCAGTGATCCTGAATTGCATTATAGTTCCAGAAAGCATAATGCTAAGCCAATCTCATCCAAGAGATCAGACTGTGTTAAAGACGAGGGCTTGGGATCTACAAGGGCAAAAATGGTTGAAGAACCGGGTCATCTTAGATCAAGTAGAAATGGGCTCTATGGGAATAAATCATCCGGTGAAAGATATACTAGTAATCAGTGTGAAAATTCATTAGATCGGACATTTATTCCACCTTCTAGTGGTCATTTGGAGGATGTGGACTCGTATAGTGAAAACACTATTGAATCATCAAGGTCACAAAGAATTGATTCTACTACTACAAAGAGGAAATTGAAATCTGGTATACCAGATAAATCACCTCGGGTGGAAAGAGAGGTTGGGAGTAGTGTAGGTAGTCCATATCCATCTGTATGTGATGCTCGAATGGATGGATCAAGCCATAGCACATCATTCTATGCAAATGAAGAGGTGGATGTTTTGGATCACTACCACCCTGGATGTGGGATTACTTGTTGCTGGTCAAGAACTCAAAGACTTAGGGAATCAAATCTTCCTTCTGATGTAGAGGACCACCCCTTGTTATCTGCAGGAGGGGAGACAGGTCTGTCTGGACAACAGAGGAGCTGCAAACTTATCAAGAGAGAATTTGCTCCATATTCAGACAATCCAAGAAGTTTTTGCCAGAAATTCAGACCAAGATCCTTCAATGAGTTGGTGGGACAGCATGTAGTGGCCCGTTCTCTTTTGAGTGCCATTTCAAAAGGTAGAATAACATCATTTTATCTTTTCCATGGTCCCCGTGGCACAGGGAAGACCTCAACCTCAAGGCTCTTTGCAGCAGCTTTAAACTGCCTCTCTCTTGAGGAGCATAAGCCATGTGGATTATGCCGAGAGTGCACATTGTTCTTCTCCGGAAGAAGCAGAGATATTAAGGAAGTGGATCCTGCAAGAACCAATCGGGTGGATAGGGTCAGATCACTCCTTAAAACTGCGGTTCTCCCACCAATTTCTTCACGTTTTAAGGTCTTCATCGTCGATGAGTGCCATTTACTGCAAGGGGAAGCATGGGCAACTGTTTTGAATAGCCTGGAGGACCTCCCTCGACACGTTGTCTTTGTGATGATCACTGTTGATCTGGAAAAACTGCCACGTAGTGCCATATCACGATGCCAAAGATATCACTTCCCAAAAATCAAGGACGCTGAAATTGCAAGCAAGTTGGAAAGAATATGCGTTGAAGAATGTTTGGATTTTGACAAGGTTGCTTTGGACTTTATTGCTGCTAAATCTAATGGATCACTTCGTGATGCCGAGATGATGCTTGATCAGCTGAGTTTGCTTGGGAAAAGGATCACAATATCATTGGCTTATGAACTTGTGAGTTGGTGATATAAGATGTAGCAGATATTATTTCCCTATTAAGATAAAGGATGCATTCAGAAGTTTCATGATTTGTCTTCTTGCCTTTCTGCAGATTGGAATTGTTTCTGATGACGAGTTGCTTGATTTGCTTGATCTTGCATTATCCTCTGACACTTCAAATACAGTTAGAAGGGCTAGGGAGCTTATGAAAACAAGGGTTGATCCCATGCAGCTAATATCACAGTTAGCAAATCTCATCATGGACATTCTTTCTGGGAAGTGTCAGGCAGGAACTTCTGAGGTTGGAAGAAAATTTTTTGGACGACATACATGTAAGTTTGATTTTCTCATTTGTGGATTCCTTTTGGTTAATGCACACTCCCACTCAATTTGAATGCTAATCCTTGCTTCTCATTTGGGTTGGTGGACACACTTTATACCAACTACCAAGGAGGATTATGTTTTGAAGATATTAGCTATCAAATAAAGTGGATCTTTTTGGCTTCAGGAGATGATCTAGTTAATACCCCATTTACCAAATGAATTATATGTGTGGTTTAAAATGTCAGTGTCAGTTGAAATATCAATCATACAAATGTAGGAAACATGTCAGAAATGTCATATGGAAACATTGTAAAAATTATAGACATGGTAGAAACAGTATGAAATGTATGAACATATAGAATGATATTTTATGACTATTCCTTATTAATAAATAACTACATGCAAACCCATAATCTTATTAGCTAGAAGACTGTAAGAAAAAAAAAAGCAATTCTAGCCTAAGAAAATGGATTAAATAATTACCTATTAGTATATAGTACTCTTTTACCATCATTATTATCATTAAATTTTTATTTCAATGCATGCATTTGGCATATTTTACATTACCTCTCTCACTAGTTACTTCTATCTTTGTTATAGCTGAAGAAGACTTGCATAAATTGAGAAGTGCACTAAAAATACTTTCTGAGACTGAGAAGCAATTGAGGACATCTAAGAATCAAACAACCTGGCTCACAGTGGCTCTTTTACAGCTTAGTTCTGTAGAATCCCCATCATTGGATTCAAATGATTTGAGAGTTTGTTTCCAGACAACACAGGAGAAAGGTAACAATGATAAAAGGCTTTTTGTTGTTAACAAGTGATTCGATTGTAGATAAGGTCCTATCAGGTCAATAAGGGGCAAACATTAATGCGTAAGTTTTTGCCCCAATGCAGATGATGGCTTTTGCAGCACATCTTCAACAGGAGATATGTTTAAGCATTCTGTTTCTTGTTTCTGTGGCGACAATAAATCTCATAATTCAGAGATGCACAGAAATTGTAAAGAGAAATTAGAAATTATTTGGAAGAGAGCAACAGAAAGATGCCAGTCAAATACACTTAGGAAATTTTTACAGAAGGAAGGGAAGTTGACTTCCCTCTGTATCAACCAAGGTATGTACAATTTGATCTTTGAATTGTATGATGCATGCTCACTGGTCACCTTTATTTCTAAATAATTCAAAAAGATAAAATAACATTCTGAGGCAAGAAAAAACATCCTTTTTTGTCTTCTATTATGGGAGAAACTGTAGTCCATGTAGTTTATGGGAATGTCCTACATCTGGCAATACAGATCCAGTAGTTGTGGCATGGGAATGCCCATAACTTGTCACTTGTTAGACATTCATGTTCCTTCTAACAGAGGGCATGCCACATATCAGCAGATTAGATGAACTTTGATTAACTTCATGTGTGTTATCAATAACTCTACGTGTGGTTCGCTGGAACAGGAACTGTTAGCTGTTTCCTCTCCTTCTAGGAAAGAGTTGAGTATATTGAATAGATACCTTGATTTATTTGTTCATCATTTATATTGATGAACTAAACAAGATAGTTAGTTATGTGAGTGAAACAAAACAGTTTATAAGTTCACAACAAAAAGATCGAGTCTCATTCCCTGTGTACAAGCAGTAACAGCTGTTACCCCAAGATTCTTGATTTATCATCATGGCTTGAAGTGGCTGCAAAGATCAACTATATGGAGTTTTTACTTACTATTTGCTATTATGTTATATGTATTTCCATTACCAGGGACAGGGATCAAGTCATTTGATTCATGCATTATTTTCTAAGACATTCAAAAATATTTAATGTAACTTTTCTCCACTGTCAAAAATACTTTTCAGCAAAAATACTTAATTAGATCATAATGTAAGCTGCTTTTTTAGCACAGTTCATCTTATAGGTGGGAGTGGGACTCAATCTCCAAAATATGGAATGGAACAGGTAATAAGTTCTGGGCACCAGACAGCTATATATGGTACTGTTTCACAGACCCAAGATTTTACAATTGGGTTTATTCTTTGTTTTTTTTATCAGTAAAAGAAATGTTTTCATTAATTCAATTGGGTTTGTTGTTAATAGGTTTTGTTAAAATAAACTATAATGATATCTCCGTGTTCTCATGCTTTCCAGCCTGAGATTTTACCATTATACCAAGTAATGTCCCCTAGCATTAACACTTTTAAAATGCATTAAATGATTTATTTCAATGAATCATACTAAAAACAAAATCTGCATATGCAATTAAGCATATCATATGGGATATATATAGAACATATTTGTAGGAACCTAGGAGGAGCTTCAATAGGTAATAAAATGGAGGAAAGTAGAGTAAGATGGTTTAGTCACATGCAAAGAACATTTACAGCACCAGTGAGAAGAAATAATCTGTTGCAAGTTGTAGGGTCTGGAAGAGTCAGGGGCAGGCCAGAAAAGGACATGGGTTGAAGTAGTGATAACTGATTTGAGGGCCCACAATTTAACAATGAATATGGCACTGCACAGAGTGGAATAGTTGAGTTGAGATTTGGGATGCCTGTGCCCATGTCTGTATCTGGAATTTTAGGAAATGTCGTTAACAATATCTGAGTCTTAACCAGTATCCATATCTGGGTATTCATAGGATATAGGTCAGTTTTCTGTGAAGGAATAGAGATGGTTTCAATCAATCAGTGAAGTGGATATATCTCAATACTGACATTGCTGGGTAGCCACCAATTTGTTACTTGACTGAGTTACTTGTTTAGGCAACTTTATTATGGGGTTAAGGAGCTTAACAGCACCTTAATTATTAATAGGCATAGAATCTAGGTTCACTATCAATCTAAAAACTTGTTGAAACCCCCATAATAAGCCCATGATCAAAGCCCAAGCACAACTATGGCCCAACTAGGAATGGCAATGGGGCGGGTTCAGGGTGGGGCACCCACTCCCCATCGGGGACAGGGAATCCCTGAATTTTCCCTGCCTTGAGGCAACCATCTAAAAATTATCTAATTTGTGGATAATTTACAAATAGGATTATGGGAATTTGGGGGTATTTCAGGAATCGAGCTAATACACTTTGGTGTACTTTAGAAATGGAATTATGGGATCCTAGGATTTTAAGATTTTAGGGAGAACTTGGAGAAATTAAATCTAGGGATATCTTACTAATTTAACGTTGTGTTCGGGGGCGGGTTCGGGGAATTATATGCAAAACCTGTCCCTGCCCAGTCCCCTGTTTGGGGCAAAAAGATTTTCCCCGTCCCCGTCTAAGGTCAGGGAAAACACGCCCCATTCAGGGCGGGGCCCCAGTTTTACGAGGGAAATTGTGAACCCTATGCCCAACCAAAGTTCAAGCCAAATCTAGATCTATGCCCTGTACCCAAACCTAGGTCCATAGACCATAGTCCATAACTCATTTTCCAAACCATATACCTTGGATGTTTGGAACCATAACTGTACCATCAAAACAAGGAGGTTGATGCATTTTGCAAAGGTCTTTTAGAATTCCTATGCTCTTCTATTGTTTTTTTTTTATATTTGACAATATGGAATCCATAAAAAATTGGGATATGATTGATGTAATTTTGGGAGCTTTTGAGTCTAAAGCATTTATAGTGCACCTCTATATACAGTGTTAACAAAGAATCAATTGAAACCAGTGTTAACAAAAAATCAATTAGTCACCAATTCATCAACTGACTAGTCAGTTGAGGACTAGTCCAACTACATCACTAACTTGTCAATTGATGCTCATGATGTGATTGCCTAGGATGACTAAGCATTGACTAGGTCTAGTCAAAGTTCAAAATTTCGACATGATATGTCCCATATCGGGTTTATTGTATCATATTGGCAGGTGGGCAATACAGCTTTTTTAAGGTATTTTAGGAAAACACTATTTTTAATAGTTAAATAGCATTAGAAGGGGCCTCTGAAAATTTGGAGAAAACTTAAAATAATATGATGCATGAGGTTCTAAAAATCAATACACCTCTTCTGGTGTATCAGGGTGTATCGATATGTTAAACCTTGGATCTAGTATTCAACTAATGACTGGTCAACTTAGTCAACTACAAAGTCATTTTAAAACTTTTTTTTCATCTCTAATTATTTGCGATAGTGTAGGATATGTTTAAATTCTGTTATATTCATGCTGTTGCTTCAAATATATGTCATAAATCTGAATGGATGATGGTATACAAAATAGAAAAAAAAAGGCATACAATAAAAGGCCATGGAGGAGTTCTTTTAAGTTTTCTTCCAATCAATTGTTTGTTGGTAGAGAATCCACACAAACTAACAGCATATTGAATTGTCAAGTTTGTACTCTTTGTTAAATAAATGCTGCAATTCCCCATAGTTGTAGTCTATGATTGGAAGAAAACTCAAATGTTCAATATCTTTTTTTTTTTCTTGCACGGTTGTAGTCCATTAAACTTATTTACAAGATTGCATCAATACCTTAAATTCAAAACATATCTGTTTTTCATCAGCTAGTCATTACCCAGGCACCAACTACTCATTACATTGACTAGAGAGTCCAAAATGACTAGTCATCACCTCATCACATTGGTAATGCTTATTGAAATTAGAATGTCTTCGGCTCTTTCTGCCTTTAGTGTTACTCCAATCATTTTTCAAACAGCTTTGTCCTAAGGATGTGGAAACTACATGTCTAATGTCTATTTTATTTTGGACCCACTATCTATATGGAAAATCTCAGAAGCCTTAGTTCTGGGTTTTTATTAGGGGATCTACTATCCACATCATAAGTCTTACAAATGCTTGTGTTGGATTTTTTTTATTTTATTTTTTATGATTAGTAACTGTGCTGTTCATGGGTTGATTAAGAGTAGGACGGCAAATAAAATACAATCAGTGGCTGATGATGCCCACGCAATAGATTGCAATAAGTTAAATGTTTTACCTGGTATTCCACATTCTAAGTCAATCTTATTCACTTCCATCTTTGCTTGATTATCTTCAAGTTGTTGGCAGACTGGAAATCCAGCTGAACAAGCAGTTAAGGTTGTAAGATAAAGTTAATGCTTCTCTAAGCAGAGATCTAAGGCACAGTGGTCCCTCAGCTTTTGATTGTAGTCAACCTAGCACAACTTGACAATCTTACTGAAACAAAATATCCCATTCTTGCAAATGATCTTCACAACTATGGGCCCTTATTAGCAGTGCTAGAAGTTCAGCTCTCAATAAGTTACCAATTTCATCTGGGACTGAATAGCTCATTAAGATGTTAACATCATTGCCTCTTACTTCTCCCCCTATGCCTGATTGACCAAGGCTTCCTAAGAGAACTACCGCCAAAATTAAGTTTGATGTGTCCTTGTTCAGGTTCTGTCTGTGGTTCAGATTTTTCTTATATTTGATTAGGAAATAACAACCACTTGTCGGAAGTAGAAGCCCTCCTTATTTATCAGGAGTAATCATGTAACAGGTGTAAAGGAAAAGGATGAAATACTAGATTGGAAACAATCCAGCATTTACCATAGGATGCTAAAGCACATTTAATACTGTATATATGCAATTCTTTACATAAGTTAATAAATATTCAAATTTGGTTATTGCTTTTTGTCTAATATATTACTTTACCTTTTTCTCAAAAAAAAAAAAAATTAAATATTCAAATTTACCAATCAGAAAACAAAGGTGGAAGCCCTCTAGGCTGTGCAACTCGGTCAGCTCAGTTGTTTCTTTTGACTTGTCCATTTCATCAGCTTCTACATTTTCCTTGTAATAACTTTCAAAACAATTTTAAAATTATAGATAGTATTAGAAATAAGTCCTTTTCTTGGTTGCAAGACAAATAAATGAACTCATTTAAAATATAAACCGGATTCAATTGCTGACACAAAATTATCTCAAACATTATTCCACAGCCAAATTGACTGCATTTATACCAGTTACTCATTATAGGATTAGAAATAAGTCCTTTTCTTGGTTACTAGGGTTGTATATGGATCAGAGTAGATTTGAAATTGAAAGTAGAGCTGCAGGATTAATTCCATGAATATCAGGATTCCATTCTTTGAGCCCATTTAAGAAATGTTTAAGCACAGCTTGAGATGTTTATGTTTGAGATTCCTCCTTTTTAATTTCTTTGTGTGTGTTTGTTGCGAGTGTGTGTTTGGGGGGGGGGGCAGTTTGCACTTAAACATGTTTGGAGGTTTCTTTCTCACTGATTGTATTGATTTCAGGTCTGGCGATAGCTGAAGTGGAATTCTATCATCAAGACCACATATCTAGGGCAGAGAAATCATGGAAATTGATTGCAAATTCTCTTCAACTTATACTTGGTTGTAATGTAGAAATTAGGATCAATCTTGTCACTGGTGCTTCTGGAACAAAAAATACCAAATCAAAGATTCCATCATTTTGTTTGTTGAGTTGTTCTGGTAGGAGGCGAGACACGTCAAATTCAACCACAGAAGATGGAAATGACCAATTAGATAATTCTGCTTCCACCTCTGGAAGAGTTATTAAAAGGGAAAAGGTCATTGAAACTTGCTCCTCTGATTGCGGATCTCAGTTCTCTCCTATCTGTTCTCATCATAAAGCAGCAACTGCCACTATCAGGAATAGGGAAGGAAATGCTCTAAGTACTGGAACAACCAGATCTCTCGGGTCAGAGAATGATATTCAGGGTTCCCAGTTAGGAGCTGGTTTTTGCAAAGAAGAGGGAAGTGACCGAGAGCAGGATTTTGCAATTCAAGAACCTGAGAATCAGCCAAGCTGCTTCTGGTTCCACCGGAGACTACGCTCATCCGAATATCAGGAAAGCTGTTTGAAAATCCAGCAACACGAAAATTTTGAACTATCTATCCCCCAGAAGGCATCCTCTAAGACATATTTCTGTGCCAACGACCCTTACATTCTATGTTCCAGCTCCAATACATATGGTAACAGCTCCATGGGTGAAGATAGGTAAGTGGTTTTATGGTTTCCACTTTCCTTTTATGTCCCTCTTTTGTTAGTTAATCCTTGATTAGAAAATTATTTACGTTTTCAGGTAATCATAAACTTAACAAAGTTCCTCAACAAAAATCCATGTCCAAGGATTGATTGCACTCCCAATCATTTTGACAAAGCTGAGGCAATGTTTCAAAACCAGACTGAACCAGCCAGTTTATCTGGGAAAACTGGGAACTAGACCTAAACCCATCTCATTGAAAACTGGCCGGTTTTGGTGGTTTTGAGGTGAAAATTAAAATGCAGATTAAACTGGGAAAAATGAACTGGAAGCAGGTTCCTTTCTGGTTCAGCATCATGTGCCTTTCCTTTGAATTGAGATTTCATTACTCTTAACTGAATGAAAGGCTTAACGCTATCTTTGGAATTCAGATACAGGAATCCTGATTTTCTGTTCAAGTAGGCTTTATTTACACCCTAGTACCTTGAAAGTAGTCAAAAGGGTAAAACATACCAAGAAGTTTTAAAATGGACTTGAACATACCCTGTGGGTTGACCTCACTGGACTTAAACATAGCCTCCATCAATGATACGTCACATGTGAACTTATTTAAAATTTTTAAAATCCAAATTTTCCTTTCTATCCCCTTTATTAGATGAGCTTTTTTTTTTTTTCCTGTCAAAGAAAAGATTCTTGTTTTCTCATCTTACAAAAGTCTTGAATGCTAACCATTATGCAAGCAAGATAGTCCCCTATATCTTGGATATTCATGAATTTAGATAGCTGATTTGTGAGGTTTTCAATTTGAGCATGCATGGATTGTCACCTTTGATGAATTTCGGGGTGCAATCTGCAATGTGTCACTAATAGAAATTTCAATAGGCTTGGCATCAACAATTTCTTCATCACTCGGAACCACCGTACTGAGCACCATTGGGCTTTTCTTTTTTTTTATCAATAACCACATAATTCATTAAAATAGGGAAAAAGTAACAGGGAAGGGGAGCTAAAGATACTTAACTCCCGAGAAAAGAAGTACAACCGATTTAAACACTCAGACTCTTACAATTGAGCCCAAAACCCAGAATTTCTAAAAACTCCTTGCCTAGCCAATCCATCAGCAAAGGAGTTAGCATTTCTTCTAACCCAAGTACATAGGACTTCCATATCCTTAATCAGCCACTTGAATATTCTTTTCTCATTGCTATAGCTCCACATCTTGGAAGTGTCTTCTTTTAGCCAATCCACAACAATCGCAGAATCTCCTTCTATAAGCAGTTTCTTGACTTGAATTTAGTAGTGAGAATGGGGTTTGTGAGAGTGGGGTTAACTCATCAGAAATCCCGTTACCCATTCCATTGAGTGATGAGGGATGTAATGGGGAGGGTTGTCAGAGGTGTCAGGAGTTGAAAGTCTATCACAGGCGGTGGAGGCAGGTTGATTTTGGTCATCAGTAGTTCAGGCCAGCCCCAGTTCCTTCTGTCTGATGCGAAGCCCTAATCTTGGGGATCCGAAGCCTTTTCTAATTTTTCCTGACTACTGGAACTCTCCCATCCTTCTACAATCTTCTTAGTAGTAGCCGCACACTACCAGTAGCCTCCAAGAATCAGCTGATCCTCCTTCTTAGTCTCCTAGCCCTAGGCAACTCTCATGTGGTTGGCTGGATCAGACTCACATGAGAAAATCCTTGCTCTGATACCAAGTAGCCGATCAAGACTACAATCAGTCTTGAATCCGAAAGTAAAAGAAAAGATTTTAGAAGGAGAAAAGAAGAAGAAAAGAGGGAGAAAAGCAGAAGCACACGAAGGGTTTTAGAAAAAGGAGAGAGAGGGTCGAATATACTAATATGCCGACCCACTCTTAATATTTATATGTTTACTAATTGTAAAAAGGCTGAATTGCCCTTATTGCTTACATGGCAAATAAACTAATAATAAAGCTGAAATAACTACCAACTAACACTGACATAACTAACAAAGAATACATGTTGTGCTGCCATACGAACACAGTGAGGACCACAGCCGTGGGGTCCACATCAATGTTCTCTACAAATTTCTTTGGCCCTTTGTACCCCTTCCAACATTGCTAACACCTCAGCCCTCAAGGAGTCTCCCGCTCCAATTGAACATGAGAACATAGCTATTACATTACCTCTCTCATCCCTTAGGACCCTCCCAATACCCGAAGGCCCTGGATTCCCCATGCTATTGCCATCAAAATTTAGCTTGATAAAACCATGAGGTGGAGGGTTCCACATAAGATTCAAAGTCTTCTTCCTTGAGCTAGCAACTTCTTTCCACTTTCTTAGAATATCATTTGTTGAAAAATCTGTAAACTCCTTCATTGTCTTCAGCCAGTGTATTACTCTTATATGAGTCAACTCTACCAAAGTTTCCAAGCCTCTCTCCTTTTCCGA